TGTTTTTTCTTCAAAATCCTTTGAAATGAAATTTTCTTTTTACCACAATAGAAAATTTATCAGAAATGCTAGCAGGTGGTAAAATTCATTATTTACAAAACAGCATGTGTTTACTAATGAATCTCTTCATTTGGTGGGTGGTTAGGGGTTTTAACAGTGAAATAGTGTTATATATTCAGAGCAATAATGACAGTAAACCAAGAGTTCTCTAGAGCATGAACAGAAGGAGTCAGATCCTTGTTTTCCTGGTAGTTCAGCATTCTTTACTATAGTATTGTGAAATGTAGTATGGCCTAAGGGTCTGAATTCTGACTGCAGAAATCCTCATTTATGTTCCAGAAATCTTTCTGATGTTTTAATTTCCTTAATAGTCTCTAGGTTTTAAAATTGTTAGATTTTTGCATATGTTTGGGCCAAATTACCTCATTTGGTTAACTGTTATCTTCCTTTCTTGATGAGCAACAGGCAGAGAATCCACCTTTTTTTCCCCTCAGTAATTTGATTACCCTGATTAATTGCCCTTATTGCTGAAGACTTTTTTCATAATTTGAACTTGTCTGGTTTCAACTTTTACACGAGTTTTTCTCTGTTTTTTAATAAAAAACATATTTCTCTTTGGAAGTTCATGTATGTGGAAAATGTCTGTGTAAAATGTCTCTTGGTTTTCCTCTTGATACATCAAAGAGTTCAAGCTTTTTATGCCTTCCAATTTTAAGCATGTGTTCTTTCTTGTTCTTTAGATAACTTTTGCCACACAAATTCCAGTTTTTCAACTTTTTTTTTTTTTGAATATGTATCCCACAACTCCACACAGCATTCCATTCTCACTATTGCTTATATTCAGAGGCAGTGTTAATTTTTATCCTACTGTTCCCAGAATTGTTTCATATGTTACTTACTGATTGCATTCCTTGATCGTCGTCATGTGACTCTACATTTGCTTAGATTAAAATGCATTTTATGTATTGTTCTCCTTTTCAAAAGGCATGACCTTAGCCACCAGTAGGGCTCCTCTGGAAAGCAGGGAGACCTTCTTGCTGTAACAGACCTGGACTTATAATTCTTTAGCTTTCCACCAGTCTACCTTGGAGCATTATGAAAACTTTTTATATTTGCCTCTAGATTACTGATGTAACAGTCAAATAGCATTGAGCCTTGCTAATCTCTGTGGAGTCTCACTTGGAACAGCCTTGTTGGATTCCCTACCAAATGCTTCTTCCCATGATCCCTCAGCTAGCCAACCACTTCTTAATTCCTTTTGGTATATGTTTTATTTCTATTGAGAAAACACTCTATGTTTCATCAGTGCTTATCTCTCCTCACTGTAAGCACGACTTTGGGGTTAACCAGCCTTCACTCTTCCCACAGGAAACCCTGCCTATGTGCCCGAATAGAAGTAATCGGCTCAGAAAGTGGATACATTGTTATGGGAAAACTTCCATTAATTTCAGCTTGTTTCTGCTTTCCTCACTGGAGAAATGCATCTCCTATCTTCAAGCCTGTCTCAGTTGTGTCTTTTAAAGATGAGTAGATTTGTTCAACCAGAAGGAAATTCAGGGCAGAAGAGGGATGGCAAAGACTGTCACTGCATATTACTCTAAGGAGTTACTGTTTCAGTTAACTTTAAATTAATGTGCAGTACTGTCCTCTATCTCTGTTCTCTGGTAGGCAAGAAGCTGGTTTCTATTCTGACTAACACTATTTAGTAAAAAGATAAAACAGGGTCATTAGTGTTACAGAAAAAATGCCAATTACTATGATGCTATGTTAATCCAAGAGGATGTTTTCACGAAAAAAGACTTTTGAAAAAACAAATGCATTAAAACTCCTGCAAGGAGCAATTGCAAATGCCAAAGTTCACCTCTTCTTTTGGCACTGTTACATTGTCCTAATTGTTAATATCTATTTACATTTAAAGAATGAAGATTAGGTGAAGTTCATATTGCACTGTTCATGTACATACTCTTACAAACTAAAAACATCTTACTAGTTCATGATGTCTTTCTATTTCTTCTTTGTGTTTCTGTTACATAGTGGTGTATAAACTGAGTGAATTTTTCAAGATTTCAGAATATTCTGTGAGAATATTCACTTAAAAACCCATTGGATATCTTGGCATCTTTTTGATATATGGGATGACACTCCATAGCATCATATGACAGCTGAAAATGACAGAGCAGTGAACATGAGTAAATTACAGTATCAAGCAAAACTAAAAATAATTTTGCAGTTCTGGTACTTTCTTGTAACTACAAAAAAGGAAACATCTAAATTTCTTTGTAGCAAACTTGAAAAAGGCCTCTGTGAGTTTTACTGCCATGGATTTTTATTAGTCTTTGCATAAAGCCATGTATACTATGCTTATTTAGTTCAGCCCCTTCCCCAATCAGTTCCATAATAAGTGAGCAGGATTGTCTTCATAAATTGGCTAGAATGTCAAGCACAAACACTGAAAGATTTGTACAATAAATCCTATCGATTATCCTTTTTAATTTGTGGGTACTGGATCTTTGTGGGTGTGCCTGTGACAACAGAAAATGTGAGGAGATTCTCAAAAACACCCAATATGAGTTTAATGCTGCTCACCTGAGAATAAAATATTTTGAGTTTAATAGGCAGCAGTGAGGCTAATGCTGCCTGTACCAATAAAATGCTGCCTTTAGCCATAAAAATGCTTTGACACAGCCAAGATCTTAGCCACATGAACAGATAAGACATATGACTTTAGATGGACAATTTACATAAGTCAGTTATGCATGTGATTTGGTATTTCTCTAGAATGCTTTAATGTAGTCCAGAATTCTCAGTAAGCCAGAAAAGGAAAATGACTAAAATATTGAAGGGAAAAGAATATGAAGAAAGCATGAGTACAGAGCTGTTAAAACTATAAGGACTTCAAAATATTAATCAGAACACAGATATGATCAAATCTATGAGAAAATGCTTTGTATTCATGTTGGATGCAGATATGCTGTTTATATGGGGCTGTGAACAGCTACATTTCATGACTGGATGTAAGCATGAGCCCAAAAGATTGTAAGGGAATGGAAGAGACAAGAATCCTTTTTTTTTTTTCCCAATTTCATTCTCCAATTCATGGCAAACTTACAGCTGCTTTTCCTGTGGATTTCAGGTGTTACACTTCTTGCAAGACTGTGATAATATATATAATTTAAAAATACTGTACGTATGCATTTTTGGTCAAAATCTATAACTGATGTTGAACTTGAAATTTACAAGCACAAAGAAACACATAAATACAAATGTATAGGTAAAACATAAAATTATTATTATTTTATTATAAATTTAGGTAATTTTTTTCTTTGAAATCCTAGCTATTTCCTCATAATGGAGATTTTTACTAATTCTATCAGCAATCTTTCTGATTGTCATATAAAAATATTAAAAGTCATTAATAGACATTTTCTTCCTTTTGAAGCACTTCCCACAAATTATCTCTGAAGAGCTACCATAAACATACATTTGAAAAAACTTCATTAAATCTTCACACAGAGACTTTTTATAAGACCCATAATACTAGCATGTCTTAACATATCCAAAATAGTTGTTATTGATAAATAGTTACTATTAATAATCTTATACCAACTGGAAGAGACAATAAAACCACCATGCCAAATACTTGATTATGATAATCAAAATGGAAGAAAATGCTTTTGAAATTTGGCTTCCAAGATGACTTCCAGGAAAGCATAAGTCTGGTTAACAAATTAGATGTAATTTATGGCATGTAGACAAGAGCATTCAGACTCCTAGTGTAGTTCAAACAGATTGCTAAATGCAGTACAGTAAAAAAATAAATAAATCATGTCATAGGTAAGAAGAGCAGAGTTAGAGCTGAAGTTGGAGGAGCTGTGCTGGGTCTTTGTATTCACTCTGTTTTGTTCATAGCTTTGTGTTACTACTTAAGCAAGTGATAGGGGATTTTGTCCCAGAAAGGAACTATGAAAAAGATTATTGCTCAGCAATTGTATGTGTGTCCTCCTTTTAAATTATTTAATATGAGTGAAACTGGGTTGCTCTTCATAAATAAGGCGTCCCTAATTTTCCACTTAAAGTGTTCCACTATACCTCATTGTCACCAGAGAATGAACTCATGTTACCTGGAGGGACAAGTTATTGTTTATAATTTTTAATGCTTAAAATTCACAGATATCTTTTGGCTCCATTTTTTTACCTCGGGTGTGTATTGAAAAGAGTTATTGGCCCAAGGAACTTGCTCATAAAAGAGTGGAAACAGAGGCACAGGAAGGTGATCTGCTGATTCAACAAATGCAGAGTCAGTACGAGAGTGAAGGTGTCTGACATGGTTTGTGCTTGGGAAGGACAATCATCTTATTACACTGTCCATTATAAATTATTATTCTAAGATCAGAGGAGTTTTAAATTGTCATAGTTTTCATTCCACAAAGAGTTATCTATGATACATGCAAAATCAATTTTTCTCAACATAAAAGACAAAGATCCATTCATCCATTATGCTGTTTTCCTTTTACTTTGCAAAATACATTTGTTTAAGACAGAAACATCTGTTTCTGTTTAAAATGTTCAAGGGGTGTAGTTACCAATTAGAACAGTGATGCAGGAAATATCCATGTCATCTTAACTGTGTCACATTTTGGCAACTGCAGAGGAAACCTTCCCAGTAGATTGTTCATCTCTCCCCTCCTCCCTCTCATCTTTTCACAGATTTCAAGATTTTTCTGGAAAAAATGTTATCATTTGTGGCAGGCTCTGTAAATAGCATTTAATTCTACAGTTGCTGGGAACACAGACATTTCCAGCATTTTCCACTGTTTCTACTGGTAGCTTTCCGACAGCTGGAATATTGCTGTCTGTCATTTTCTAGGCTCTAGAATAACTGAAGCTCATCACGGATCACAGTCTTTTCTGAGTTTATGACCTAGACCACTTATCTTTCTTCTTCTTCATTTCTTTTTTTTTTTTTCTCTCTCGGAACCCTGGTATCTGACCTTACACAGGTAAATCTCAGGGACTTGTGAAGTGGCTGCCCTCAAATTTGTTTCTGCTGCTTGTTTGAGCTTCCACTCCTCCTTACTGCTGAGTAAGTAAATTATTTTTTTCAGATGCTGTTCACTTATTTCCCAAAAAACAAAATGAATTTTCATGGGTAATGAAAAAAGAAAAACCCTATAACCAGAATGTAGCTTAAGGAGCCCACAACCGTTGAATAAAACACATCTGGTAATTCTCCAGAGATAACTTATTTACTGCAGATTGTTTCCTTACTGGTTCTTTGCTCAAGCAGCTAACAAATGTTTAATGACTTGGTTGTTTCTGTTTGAGGGAGACATAGTCACAAAACTGACATTACTGACCCAAAGCTGTTTTTATCAAAACAGACTTAAAAAGAATCATAGAATGGTTTGGGTTAGAAGGGACCTTAGAGATCATGTAGTTCCAACCCTCCCGCCATCGGCAAGGACACTTTCCACTAGACCAGGGCTTAGAGCCCTGTCCACCCTGGCCTTGAACACTTCCAGGGATGGGGCATCCACAACTTCTCTGGGCAATATGTTCCAGTGCCTCACCACCCTCACACTAAAGAATTTCTTCATAATATCTAATTTAACCTATTCTCTTTCAGTTTAAAACCATTCCCTCTTGTTGTATTGCTGCATGACCTTGTACAAAGTCCCTCTCCATCTCGTAGGCTCTGCTCAGGTGCTGGAAGGCCCCAGTTAGGTCATCCCAAATCCTTCTCTTCTCCAGGCTGAACAATCCCAGTTCTCTTAGCCTGTCTTCATAGGAGAGGTGCTCCATCCCTCTAATCATCTTGGTGGTCCTCCTCTGGACTCACTCCAACAGGTCAATGTCCTTCCTCTGCTAGGGAATTCTGAGCTGGATGCAGTACTACAGGTGGGGGTCTCATGAGAGCAGAGTAGAGAGGCAGAACAGGCACATATGTTTTCATGGGTTGTCTCTTTCCTTGTAAAAACTGTCAGACTACTTTTGTATAACCTAGGAGAGATGTTTTAATGCAAAAAGATATGTTCCAATCAGTGTTAAATTTTAGTTGTATTTTAGCCACTGATTTTGAACATTACATTGTCATATTTTAGTGTCAATACATACCTACATATATATATTATATCCTTCATATTTAGGTGGGACCTTGCCCTAACTTGTTGAACTGTAATTATAGTGTATTTTTGAATCATATTACTATTTCTTCGAATTCTTGTCTCTATTTCTCAGAACTGTAAATGTCCATAAGCAAAGAAAGAAAAAAGTAGATCCAAAGAAATTTCACTCTCAATACATTGGTTAAATTATGGGATGACTGAAATGTGCAAATCCAATAGTATTTAATAGCATTGCTTTTTATACTGCTTTGGTTTCATTTAAGTCTGTTTCTACAGACTTTTACTACACCTGCAATGCACTGAAGTGACCCCTTGGCATGAAAGAGGTATAGAAATAGGTACTGGTATGATTTATAAAATACATGTCTTTTAATGAGTGGAAGTGCACTTCTGTACTGTTAATTTTGATGTGGATATTTCAGCAGAACAAAAGATAAGGTCTTTAATTCTGAGAAACTGCTTTATGTCATTTCATATACACCACTGCTGGTCAGAACAAATTTCAAGTCAGTAGTCACGTGCGTATATCAGGAAGGTAGAATAACACATATAAATTGGAATTCAACAGCTGACTAAACAGAGCTGCCAGTGTGTCATTAAATATTTTTAACGCATTCTTTCAAAATTAAATTGTTTAAAATTTGGACATATATTGCAATATTTTACCTGCTAAATTAGGTTCCTGAGAACCTATGCCTGACTGGAGTTTACCATGCTGAGTGCTTGTAGCACCTTCCTTTTGGTGGAAGAGATTTGCCATCAGAGCTAGGAGCATAACTTTCCCTTCAGTATGTGAGGCAAGAGATTCTTTGACTGTAATTTGCCACGACCTCAGTGTAGAGCAGCGTAAGCCAATGAAGGATGCTAAGGTCAGGAAAGTGTCTTATATCTCATCCTAATCAGATTAGTTATACATGTTGTGCAATTCAGAATTCTTTGATGGTTTTCCTCCAGTCTAATGTTCTGTATGAAGAACAAGCATGCAGAATATTGTTTTTCCTGTATTTTCTGTGCAACTAAACAATTTATTGAATACTTGACTACTTGCCATGCACAAATAAACCATGTGTGCTAAATCTGAAGACTCGTGCCTGGTGGAAAACCACTTCCTTGTATTTGGTAAGAAAAAATTGCGGTGGTAGTTTTTCCTCCATTCTCAAATGGTCACAGAAATCTTGAATAAAGGAAGAGCTCTAACTCCTGTTACTTTTAGGAACTGCCATCCACTGAGAAAGAAAGCACCTTAAACAGAACTTTACGAGGTGCTTTGAGCAGGGCTTGCTGACGTGCTCCAGTTTAATTCTACTTTTTGTGAACTTCATTTAATGCGGTTACTGGAATTGAGGTCTGAGCCTTCCCAAGTAATTATCTTACAAGTTCAGGTAACTGTAGGTTTTTTCAATCTCTCGAACAAAAACTTGAGATTTGAGGCAAAAAGTTAGCATTCTAAATTATGCTGAAAACTGGTATTCTGAAATACTGTATTACCGTAATAATCACTGTTGCATGGTTTAGTGTACCACAGCAGGTTGGCAGCAGCAAGTAACTAAACTGAAACTCTCTAAGAAGCATTTCAAAATAAAACTGTAAAATAATCAATACATGTAAACAATATGTTAAGTAATGACGAAATTAAGGAGCCAATTCTTAACGACTTTGGTAGGCCTTAAAGGAACTTACAAATTATCAGAACTTCTCAGAAAGAAGCCCTAAATAATAATATAAAATTAAATATTTAAAATTACTTTTTTTTTTTTTTAATTATGTATTAGGAGTGGAGGAATTAGAGACTTTTGTTTATTGAATTTTTTATATGGCCTTGAGAAAACAGTTTAACATATTTTGAGCTTTTTAGTGGGTTTTTAAGTCTTTTATGTTCCTCCAAGATTCTTGGGTTAGTTCTAGAATAAGTAAGTGTGATGGAAGAAATTCTATTTTGTGAACATTTCAAACCTAGAAAGTGGTGACATCTTGTGAAAGGAAGGCTCACGGAATTTCAATCCCAATTTCCAGACTAAAATTTACATAGAACATAAACAGACGCATAATCTTTTCAATAAAAAAATTGCTATTTAAGGCTAGGAAAGCACATATAGAACTTCATGACTTTTTATAAATTTAATCATTGCAACCTTAAAAAATTATTATTAAAAGTATATCTGAGATTGCAATCTTTATCATTTATCTGCATGTACAGTGCACATAGTTTTCAAATGACTATGCACTATTTTTCTACTTTTTTGTGGTTTTCCATAATAATATTTTTCTGGAACAATACAGTATCAGACACATTCCTGCATGCATATAGTTCACAACTGTAGGTTTACACAGCTACCTGAACAAATTCTGCCTATCTACGTAACACTCTTTTGCTGAGTAAAAATTATTATTACTAAAAAAAGACATAAACTGAAGACATACCAATGACTTGTAGCAATATGTGTATTTTTGGAGTAGGTGCTATTTCATCGTAATAAACAATTTTTTTAATACAAAATTTGAAGATCAAATAGAATAATGTAGCACAAAACTAAAGAATAACATTGGAAAAAATTGGTCTTACTTCTGGATAAATTACTATTTCTCCATTCTGCCCATTTATACTCTTTCATGTACTATGCACATAGTTGGTAGTAGGATGAAAAAGTCTGAACTGGAAATACCTGCAATTATATATACTGACTTGAAATTTAACCAAAGAAAATGCTACTTCATATCATTATTTCAGCTTTCAGAAAGTATTTAGGTTCTACTGGTTTTGCAGGTGCTTGATCTAATATGTAATTTGCATAGCAAATTATGGGCCTTCTGCAGACTGTTTTATGGCATCTCTGTATATTGATTCATATTATAAATTTTTTCTGTACAATTCTGAAAATAATAAGAAAATTATGTGAGTAGGACAGATTTACAAAAAGTGTTCACCATGTATGTGTGGAGAATAAGGATTTTGCAACTTGATTCATAAAATGTGCTGGTGCAAACATCGCCTGCTGGGGGCAGCAGGCAGGGTAAGATCTGTCATTCTCAAGCTACTCCTATGAAGAAAGTTACATCTTAAGATCCTATTTTGGCTAGTATAATTATTTCTGGCCCTGGAAAATTAAAATATAAACTCCTAGTCACATTTCTAGGAGAATCCTCTGTGCTTGAAACCATTCAGAGAAGTCTCAGAATGTGATACTACATGCACTTTTTATATCAGGAGAAAAAATAATAAACCAAAATGAACAACCATAACTGTCTGAACATTTCATTGTACACAAGGAGTGTAGCCCAGTCATACTGGGACAGACAACAAATACAATGCTTTATGAGTGATAGGGATTCAAGGATCTGAATCAGAAATATCCAAACCTGTTTATTCTCACATACAAGCTTCTTCTGTAGCTGGAGACCAACATCTTTCTCTTCCAGCCCACAGATAACATTAAAAATCAAGCTGCAGCCTACTGTGCAGGTGGTCGAGTTCTGTGATATCTGTTCTTATAGTGCAGGTTGGTCAGGACCCATTGTGCAAAGTCAGATTTGAGATGGTCTTTTCGGAGTATTGTAAGGTGATCTCTGCAACGTCTTATCTGTTTGGTCTGACTGCAAAATTACTGTGTTTGGGTAACTCTTTGGCCCGTTATCATAGAATAAGAGTCAAAATCATTGGGGAAGGCAGGAAGAACGAAAAAAAGGTATCCAGAGCAAGATTTCTCCTTAGAGTCCTTGCTCCTTATAGTGAAACTCCAAGCTTTAAATCTCTATACTTTCCTTGCTGAACCAGAGTCCAACTTCCATGCAGACAGAATGGATGCTACAAGCCATATTTTCCAGAATTCTTGTGCCATTTCTTAACTTCAGTCATAACATCATCTAGTCCACCTTATGTAGCCTTAGAATAGAGGCAGGTACCTCCTGTGATAAGACAATGACATATATAAACAATGAAAACATACCTTGTAATTTTATA